CTCCCCTGCAGCTGCAGCCCCAGCAAGGGGGAAGCCCAGGCACCTCGGCAGCATTGGCGTGGAAGCCAACGTGCTCCCGTCACTGGGTAGGGCTGGGATGTGCATGGGGGGAAGCATGTGCAGCGGGCGGGGGTCCGCGATGGTTGGCAGCATTGGGCATCAGATCAGCAGCCTTAAACCATTAGTTCATTTTTTACTAGTGGTTCATTGTCTGCTTATCAGTTCTTATCAAAGTCAAAAATAACAACACAGCTCTTCATGGTGGAACTCTGTTAACCAAACCTCAGCTCCTACTTGACCACAATTTCCCTGGATGCTGAGTGGAGGAAGAAGAGATGAAGGACTGACTGGACATACAAGGAACATCTTGAAAAACATAATAATATTAAGAATGTAATGAATTATTTTTCTGCTTTGCTGAATACAGCATGCCTTACTCGCAGGTTTAGAAATTCCATAACATCTTGTAAATGTGTGAAAAGTGCTACATGTAGCTCTTTTACATATACAGTAGATTTATTTCAGCAACAACATGTTCTTTGAACTCTGCTGGAGGGCTCTCTAATATTTATGGGCAAGAAGATGGCCTGAATAATTCTATCCTTTCCAGTACCAGACGAGGGAGCATCTTACATCTAGGGATTTGGATACAATCTGCATTGGGAAACATATCAAAAAATGGGTTTGTTGATTCAGGTCAAGCTCTGTCACTACTTTCAGCAGGACTTTGGATATCATGTTCAGATAAGGCACCAGGAAGGCTTGGAACTTCTCCAGTCTTCTGTTGAGAGAATAATAATCAAGACATCACCCTCAGCTGACAAATGAAACAGAGGACAGATTGCTGTCAGCATAAGAGGCAGCTCCTCTGACAGGTACAGGACTAGATTGATCTCACAGAGATGCAAGATTTCTGGTTAGTAGAAATACTTACGTTACACTTTTCAGGAGAACATTGACATGAGAAATCACATTATTACATAACTAATTGGGGTGATAGGTTAGACATCTCCTGAGCTTAAGGACTTCACCTTGAACTCCAAACGGCAGCTGAAATAGACTGATAGCTACATCCCACTGGGCTCTAAAGAGTTTGTATTGAGACAAGTAGGAAATTGCCTCTTTTCCACAATCAGTCTGTGTCAGAGAGTGATTTTCCTGATCCTGGTTCAGATGTCACAAGCAAGGAGAACACAGGCTGCTCTGAAAAGCTTCTAAATGTTCAAGTTGTAAGATGGAGGAACTCCAGTTCACTTCATAAAGACATGGAGTGGTCAAGTTAAGAAAGCTCTCCTGGTCTATTCCCTAAAAGGTCCGAGGAAAGGAGGTGGAAAAAGTTCAGAAAAACAAAAGCAGGACTCTTGAACAATTCATTAAAAAGCTTATTTATGCCTTGAAGAGCAGAGAGAATTTGGATGTCATTATTGAACACACTGACAGCAGATATCCTTCTGAGCTACCTGCATGTCTCCATGTTGGAAGAGTGACTTGCTGTTTGATGCTACACTCAATTCCTGCCTGTCATTTTAGCTTCTCCACTGAAATTAAATGAAATTAAAAATATCTCCCAATGCCTCTGCTAGTTTTTGTGACTTCTTCCAGAGCCACCATCAGTCAATCAGTTCTGGCAACCTCCTGTTCTATCTAGGGACAAGGAAGAGAAAATGCAAGCTCTTTTACCCTAGACATGAAGAGTGATGAAGCATATGCTTTCTGTGTAGAAACTACTGGACAAGAAAGTTCAAGCAGAAGAAATTTGTACACAGACACAGCAGATTGCACAAGTACTCGTAGTTTAGCAAGTGGAAGTTTCTGAAATGCAGTGGGAAAGCACTGCTAAACTTGGAATGAAAGTTGCAAATTAATTACTACAGAACCTATATCCAGCATGCCCAATTGTTGAGTTATTAATGAAACAGAAAGAAGGGAAACAGAGTAAGAGTAATGTAAGAAGAGACTGAGGTTTTCATTGCTGTCTCTTATCTAAGGAAATCACTGACCACGTAAGAGAAAATAAAAATAAATTCAATTTAGTGACTCGCTGAGCAGCAAAATCAAAGGCAGGTGTGGATATAATAGACAATACTGGTCAAACTGTTTCTTTCTGCACAGCACTCAGTAAACAGTCGCCACTATTGAGTTCTAACCTCTTGTCATGCAGCAACATTGAGTCAACAATCCGCTCTCATGGCTTAATGCTTTTGATGTTTACTTTGTTCTTTCTATAGTTCAAAAGAAAGCACTAATGCACCAGTCCTCTTACCGAATACAATCTTAATCCCAGAATCCCGAGCCTTTTGCTGTTGGCCAGTTAAGTCTGTTAAGACGAAAGGATTTGATTGAGCTTTACATAACAACACAGAAGTTAAATCCAGCAAAGAGAGTTCTTTTTATCTGTACTGCTCAGACGGCTAAGAGGGAGGGAAAAAAAGAGAGGGGGGGAAAAAAAAAAAGGTAATGAACTTGGCTATGTAAAACAAAATAAGGAATTCAATTATTTCTCTTATTGCCACTTTGTCTTTTCAGTGAGAGTCTTTTAAAGAACTCAAATTTATTCTGCAATAAAGTCTCTGAGTGTGAAAGCTATAACTTCCCCCTAACCCAGAAGAAATGTGGCACCTGCTGTGCTTTTTTGCAAATGTGAGAAATGTTCCTTTTTCATTTTTTTTCATCTCTTGCATGTATTTATGAAGACAGAATATAGTTCACTACTTAGACACTTGCCTGGTACTTGGTAGAGCTGGGTTCAAGTCTTTGTTTTGCCATTAATGTCTTTTGTGAGTTTAGCCCAACCACCCATGTTTCAGTGTGTTTATAGCTACCTGTCTCTGAAACTAGTTGTCAGTGATGTGAATGTCATTTTATGACACATGAATGTATAAACATGCAACATGCATGTGTTACACCAGTACATATGCAAAGATTATGAGGTAGCAAAATAAAGGCAGAACAACTATTTTAGATGGAAAGACTAATTTACTTTCTAGAATATTAATTACATTGTCACACAAAACTTTTCCATGCAGCAAAGAGTTATGACAATGATCATCTTGTACCTAAGCCACACAGAATTCAAGCTGTGCCCTACCAAAGGTCTCAAATCATGTTTCAGCTTCACTTAATGCTAATACCACAATTTTATGCTAGTACTATCACCATCATCCAAAAATATTATGCCAGTAAAAAGTGTGAAGTTATACAAAGAGGGTGAAACCATCCTGCTTTAACACAATGCTTCTGGTATCATCTGTTAATTATAAGATTTTCAACATCTGATTAGAGAGGGAAGCGAATAACTGTCCCCAGCATTGAAAGCAAAGCCTGGAGTTCTGAGAGCAGAAGAGATGAAGACCAAACCTTGGCAATCTGCATGCATTTGCCTGAGAACTGGGTGGAAACAGTTACCTGCCTCTCAACTGGAAAGATACCACAGGACAGCTCTTCCCCAGCAGCAGCACATCAAGAAAGGACCACCTGCTGGTATCTAAATTTTGACTTCACTACTCAGCTACTCCATAAGAAATGAGACGCATCAGAAGTAATAATGTAAAACTGCTGAAAGACTGAAATTACAGTAGCCTAAAAGGTTTTACACTCTAATAAGAACAATCCTGCTGCTGACTAGTTTGGAAATATTATATATTGGATGTTATGTTTGCTATGCAAGACAATTCTACAAAACAAAGAAATAATTAGAGGCAAGGAAAGGTACAATGAGACTCAGAAAAATGAAATTATTCACCTCACTGACATTTCATATCTTGTGTTAAGTAGATTCTCCTATAATTCTGAAAATTAAAAAGCCACCCCTTATTAAAGTTCTGTCCTACTATGAGCAGAAAGGGAAACTATGGTGAATTTAAATACTGAAACACTTTTAACAAACACTGACTCCATCATGGAAAGTATATCTTGCTTTCGTGTGTAACAGTAGCCTACAAGCACCAGTTGAAATTGAGCTCCTATGTTACAGGCACATATGAGGGAACATTCTTTGTAAACTACAGACATGACAGAAACATGGGATCCAAGAAACACAGTATATTAACACATTTCCCAGGTAAGGAACTGGAAGCCAGACATTCTTAGCATAGAAAATCTTTCAAGTTCTGTTTAGACAGAAGTCTCTACCACCAGAAGCAGATGACTGGATTATAAAAGGACGTAAATTAAGCCTGGCACGGTTCGTTGTTCTAAATAATTTGGGCATATTGTTTCCACTAACCTATAATGTAAATCTAGCACACAGCCCATGCAACCACTTGTTAAACCAGAGAGTTTTCCAGAGAGTTTCTGAAGTCTCATTTCCCCATTTCCCTTTTTTTTGGGGGGGGTATGTGTGTGCATGTGTGTTTTTTGTTTGTTTTTGTTTGTTTTTTTGGTTTTGGTTTTGTTTTTTTTTTTTTTTAAAGAGTAAGCAACAGTGTCCTCACACTAATCTCTTCAGTTCATCATCCCCCGCTTGCCCAACTGAAGCTGCCCAAAAGCCCATCCCAGCACAACAGTGATTCTATCGCCACTACAAGGAGAAGCCTGATCACAGAGGAAGAGATGAGATGAGCATTGGAAAGAAGTTATCTGAGGCAATAACGATTCCATTAATTTTCAAGAAAAAGGTATTGAGTATGAGTCTCTGGTCTTTATTAGAAATTAATGCAGGAGTTTCTAAGTATGGTTTGTGTAACACGTCTACCACCTCTGCTGGGGACACTGATAATCACTGCTGCTACCAATGCCAAAAGAAATACCTGGAAAAAAAACGTGAGACCTTGAATTAAAACACTTGGTCCCTATGATATAACTGGGTGACTTTTTTCGATACTAGGAGGGCTAATGGTAGGAGATAGAGAGATACTACCCTAATTCCCATCTTAACAGTTTTGCAAGGCAAACAACACATCAAGAACTGCACTCTCATACATGCATTCTCACGCTGACTTGTTCACTGACTTACTCCAATATCCCTTAATATTAACCAAGAAATTTTGTTCTTTAAATACCTTCTAGATGAAAGTGTTCATCACCAATAGTGTCTCTGTAGCCTTCCCCAGATAAATCCTGTTTAAAAAAAAAAAAAATTAATGACAAATATACTATATACAAAGTGTTGAGGTGTTAAGAATATGTATTTATTATTGCCAGGATTAATTTAAAATGAGAGCACAGGAGTTGTTTTCCAGGAAAGAAACACTTTATTAGTGGTTGTCAATGCGTTTGGTGTTATTTTACAATGCTCTGGACATACTTTAGGACAAAAATTGAATGGAGATGAAAAGATTTACAGAGGAAAGAAAAAAAAGAAGTGTTCATATTCAAATCCCTTTGCAAAGTAGATTAATATTTAGCATTTCAACATTCTGTCAATCAAGCAAGATAAAAAAACTCCAAATGGAAATGATAAAGGAGAAATAAGCCCTTCACTACCCACAGAGGAATGTTATCACTTGGTTCCACCAACAAACAGAAAACTTTTATATGCCAGAGGTCACCCAAGAAAAGCAGATACCAGACTCTGAAGAGCTGCCTGATCCCTCAGTCCTGAAATTAATGAAATTTTGTCAGTCCCAGTATGTTTACAGCAATACAGAAGCAGATGATCTTATCTCAGACCCCCAAAAATTTCTCTAATGGTGCTGAAGTAGTAATAAAGGGCATCAGTGGGATTTGGAGCTAATCCCACTTACAAAGACCCTAAAGAGCATTTTTACTCTCCTATTAGCAGACCCTTCCAGCTCCATCCCTCCACCCCAGCTAAACCATAAGCAATGACAGCTATCCTCATGTGTTGCCTTCCTTCCTTCATTCTGCAGGCTCTAGCATCACCATAACATCACTGAGTTTACATTATAATCTGGCTCCCTAGATTCTCTGCAAACACTCTCTGCCACTGATAAATAGTTACAGTGATAAAGAAGGATATGATCCTAAAAAGCTGGTGTGCTGCACTCATGGCCATTCTAACTTTACCTGCAAAAACATACCAGGAACACAGAGCCAGCATTCTCAGCATCAACCTGTGAACTGGAAGTTGACAGCACAGAGCTTTCTGCATGAGATAAAAATAAGGGAATGACCCATAAAAAAAAACAATGTCTGGTTGTGTTCATTAGCTTTATTGTTAAGCAATTTTATTACAATAAAAGCAGTTCAACTCTTTTTCTTGAAAAAGCTGACAGAGGTTCTTTTCTGCCTACCACATGCCCAAATGTTATTCTTTGAGATTAGTTACCAGAAAGTAACTAAGCCACAAAAGCATATCTTAGGAATTCTTTGGTATCAATTTCTGCAACAACATTTTAAAAATTAGATTTCAAAAACACTACTGGATAGCAAGCCCCAAGACCCTAAAAACACTGTTCTGTTCACGAGCAGCTACCCTGAAACAGTTAGAACTTTAGAAATGTTGGCAACCTGGCCTGGAATGCTAGAGTTCTGCATAGCACAATGTTGCTATAAAAGCTGTCATCCTGGATTTAGCTCTCCACGAAGCGAATCACAAAAGCTGTTTTTTAACTTGAGCTTTTGTTCCAGTAAAAAAGGTCTCTTTTTTTGAGCATGTGCTGGTTAATAACAATCATTACCTTAAAAATCATTGAAGAAATGGACAGTGAATAAAAAGAAACCATTACATGTTGGCATAATTTATCATATTTCTGCAAGAAGATGGTCTTTCCAAGTCCTTGTAAAAAAGTTAGTATACTTTTGTTTGACCAAATTCCCCCGTGTCATCATTTTCCATGAAGCTCTGAAAATACACCTCTTACTGCTCTTGTAGATATTGATACACATAGAAGTGACTACATAGGCATTTATGGCACCTCTGCTCTCTCTCACAATGCTAAATATTTAACTGTTTTGTTTCAGGGGTTTTCTTAACTAAACTCAGAATTCCTGCTCCCTCCTGTTGTCTTGTAAAAAAAAATATTTTCTGTTAACCTGATCACAAATATGCAATGAGTAGGCATGATCTTACTTGTGATGTACCTCCAAGGAGAATACTATCTAGCTGGTAGCCTTCATCTCTTAAATTTTTAGCAAAGCAAGTAGTGCATCTGGGTATCAAATGTTGCCTATTAAAATTATGTCATTAATGTCATCCTCTACAAAACCCACAAGTCATTAATCTTTATGAATTTTCAAGAGACATCACTTAAGAACAAGCATACATTTTGTTGATGTAAAAATGCACCATCAGGTAACTCAATGGAAGACAGTAGAACACAGAAGTGTAAAACAGCAGAGTGAAGCATTAATATTCATTAAGTTAGCTTCCTTATTTTTTCATTTATATATTCTAGTTTAGTCTAGTCAATCTTTCTCTAGCTCCTAGTTATTTAAGTAGCAACATAATGGAAGCAAATTTCCAGTAAGTGTTTCCACCTTAAACAAAATTATTATAAATTACCAAATTCTAGAAAAGTGTTTTTATGATGTTGAACCATAATATAACTGTTAAATAGCACATAAATTGAGAATCCTTCCTGAAACTGATGAGACTATCATTTGAACATTTCAGTGACACATTTAAGCAGAATTTCTGAGCTCCCATTCAAATGTGTTCCTCTGTGTGTGTAAGATTATGACATGTATTGTCTTTGATAGACAGGTGTGTATCTGCGAAAGGTGTGGCCAACTCTAAGATTTTACAGGAAAAAAAATAAGGGAAAAAAGGAAGCTATACCACTCATTAACTCTGTCAAAAAAAGCCTGCTAAACAGTTACCTGAGTATTTTTAGTGCCATTGAGATAGATGTCACAACCTGGATAAATACCAAAATGTACCTGCTTGAGAAAAGCACCTGGACAGTGTATGTAAACTCGCTCAACAGGAAAGTACAAAAGCAGAGGAAGCATCAGAGAAAACAATTCTGACCAGAGCTCCAACTAATGGAGTAATCTCACAGTAACCTGTACAAATTACCTTAACATGCATAAAACAGTGCTTCTACCCCCAGCAACCCAAATTCAGAAAACAACTAGAGAGAAAGAAAAGGGTAAATGTGTAAAACATAACTTGCAGCTCAAGAAATTCTGGTGGGAAGCAAACACTATAAACCAGGTAGGAATATTTGATGCTGGGGAGAAGCATGTTTGAGCACAACGGAAACAGAGGCTGGAGGGGATGACAAAACCCGCAGTGGCTCCGCAGCGTGGGCCTTCCCCCACAGCTGCAGGAGCCCGGCCCGCGGCAGGAGCAGGGCCTGAGAGCAAAAGCCACAGCATTGAGGTCATAGGTAGTTGTATATCACTGTCCTGACATGATGTTTTAAATCACAACACTGCATTTTCAAACTGGAACACTGAGTCACGAAACAACCAAAACCAGATGTACTCTGTGAAATACTATATAACTGAGGTCAGCCAGCACTTGAAAGAATAAAGAAAAGAAACATTTACGTAGAAGGATTATTGCAGCATGCCATTTCTTTAGGTTGCTAAACAGGAACCCATCTAGAGTAAGTGTCTCTACCTCACCAGGAGTTTCCCAGATAAGTTGGCCTCGGTTATCTACCAACACAAATCACACAGAATTACTTCGATTCAGGCTCAGACATGTGCTTCAAAACTCTGAACAGCTGGCTGCCTGGCCTGGGTAAAAAGGACCTTGTGGCCCACATATCCCATTCTGACAGGTGCCGCTGTACTCAGATCAGATTTAAGAGGGTGGGGGTGAAGAGAAGAGTTAATTAGTGCAACTCCCTCAGAAACGCTGCTGAGTATACATATACATAAGGAAGAAAAACAACCTCTAAAAGCTCCTGCACCGCAGGGCTTCTATTCAGCTAGTATAGGTCAGGCTATATATAGGTCAGGCAATCGTCACTCGCTTCCCACCTTTGCTGTGCAATCAGACTCCAATGAATTCTAACTCGCTGGGAATTTTAATTTTTTAACCCCAATGTCAGCCTTAACCACCCTGTGTAGTTTTCTTACTGATACAAGTCTTGGAGAGTACAGGCCAGGCGCTCACTCTGGGGCTTCCAGAGCTATCTGAAAATGCTGCCATCCAAATCCCCACCCATCGTTCTGCCTATGTCATTATATTCCTCCGAGGCCTCTGCTGGCTCCCTTTCTGCTTCTGCACTGACATTAAGCTCCTTGTCTTTACTGTTCAGGCTCTACACAGCAGTATTTATGTTCACACCTCCTAGCCCCTATGCCCACTGATTCCTTTAATCTTGATCATCAGTATGACTCTTTCTACCTGTCCTGGCTCTGCCTTTTCACGATGCGCTCTGTGACACCCAGCACATATGAGCCAAAGCTACAGAATGCAAACAGAGTGTATATTTTAGCAACCCACGTTTGGACTAACATGGTGTTAAATACAGTTTTTCTTGTGGCATAAGTAGAGACAGCTACATCCATAGATGTATTAGATAAATCAAAGGATAACCTTTGCTTAGGTAGGTTATCATGATAACAAGCACATTTTTTCAAGTTTGGACCCTCCTACTCCCTGTATTACATCATAGTCAATATTGCATTAATTAACATTTGTCTAAAAAGTGTTGCTCTTCTTGAGGAGAAACAAGTTGCTTTACCTCTCCTTCTTCAAACATCTCATTAAAATCCTTTGATTTAGCCTTAAGATACTAAATTTTCCACATTTTTGTCAGAAAATATGCACACATTCCTGTTTAGTATAGTTCTTAACATGGTATAATATCCACCACCTTCCAAAGGAGAATACATGCAAAATGACAAACTGTCAACCAAGAAAACTTTCTTCTCTATTTTTAATTATCTGACTGAAATATGGGGTTTTTTTCTCTCTTTATTCTCACATTGATGCAATAAAGTTCCAGTACTTTTGGAGAGAGCAAAGTTGAAGAAACATGTTTCACAACAGGAGTGCAAGGGACAAGATATGTGGTAACTCTAACATCTTGTGGAGCAGATTTTATAATGGTTTTAGAGTAGCTGCCAACAAGAATGCAGTGTCACGTATGCACAAACTTCCATGCTTGATGTAGACAGAAAACAATCCCAAGAAATAGAGATTTAGGATGCCCTTTGGCCTTTCACCCAAATGACTGAGGGCTCGATCAACTGCTAAGTGGCTATTCTGAATGTTTCGGTCTCATTTGCAGGAAACAAGATTCCAAAAGAAGTCTGATTTTCATACAGCAAGTCCTTAGCAGATTTTGAAAACCTATACTCTTGAAGATGCTTGAGAAAACCAATCCAAACCCCAAAGCAGTCATTATTAGTGTTTTACATGATTTTTAACCTTGTCCAGACACAAGGAGAAAGAGGTAAAAGACTTTTTCAAAAAAAAAAAAAAATGATGGGAGGAACTGAAATGTTCCATGGACTAGAAACATAGACATGTATAACTATGATCAGCTCAAGCATAGTCTTCACTACTAAAAAACTTATTCACAACTCAAAAAAAATGTCATTTATTTTAGGATAATGCAGGTGAAAGTAGATACTCAGTTATGTGAGGTGACCATCATTTTTTACAAATACAGCTTTACAGCCACATTTAAAACTCAAAAGTAGTCAGACATACTTGGAGATGACATTTTGCTAGATTAGCAGCTTCCATGCTTACCAACCCATGCAGTCAAATGTACATACAAGTGGACGTTTGTGAGCAGTTTTGTGTGATCACTACTTACAGGCAAAAGATAAGAATGTATTTTGGGCATGCATTTGGCGCTCTCCACATTTGGAAGTGAAGTCTTCATATTAATATTCTCTTTCAAAAATGCTTGAAGATCCCCCTTGTAAGTCCTTTCAAATAAACCACACACTTCTATATTACAGTGTCCTATTTAGGACAAGAGCTTCCTTTCCTCCCCTGTTTCTAGGGCCCTATACAGGTAAAGTATATATTCCAAGCCTCACTATAAAGAAAATTGAAGCCAGGCAAATACAATTAAGCATTAAACCATATACCATAGAGAAAAACTTTATAGAGCAATACACACTCACGCCTTAGTTTAAGCCTAATATTGTTTCTCCTACATCACATTTTACCTTTCCTTCTGCAATCATGGGGTTTTACTTTTGAGTTTGCCATTTTTATTAATAAAGATAACTTACAAGGATTCAACCTTCTGTAAAGAATGTGTAAAGCAGGTCACACTTGAAGAAGTCAAGGTGACTTCAACTTTCAGACCAACATTAAAATATAAGTTGCAACTGCAATAATGCAGTTTGTTAAGCAGAAGCAGCAAGTTCAACTTCTATAATGTTTTCTTTCTTTGAAATCAAAACCTGGTGCTCTGTGATCCATTACAGATGGGGTTTTCTTCCTCCACCATGCATGGAAGCTTCTCTCAGATAAAATTTCTTCATAATATAATCACAGCAGGTAGAGTTGTTAAGAAAACAGATTTCTCCTCTAAGATCTCTGATAGATGATCTTGGATGGGTTTAGCTGCTGCAGTTTAGAATTTTACTGCCTTCATCTGCTATGATGGCCTCTTTGTCCAAATTTATGGTCTTCCTAACAGAGATAGCAGAACACAGCGGGTATAGCACAACAGATACTGAAATTCATTCTTTGGTACCTTTGGCACAAAGTTCACACTAATATACCAGCTCAAAAACTATAATGGTGAAGCACACAAATGCATTCAGTTTGGCTGCCTCTGCTCTAGGAGCAGTAACTCCCAGCCATAATAACACAGTAATAGTGTTTGAAGTTACTGCATCTATATCCACCAATCTGACAGAATTGGAACCCCTACAGTCTCATCTCACGGAAGGTGGCTGTAGAGAAATTCCAGCTGCTGGTAAAATACTGTGAAGGTAAAGACAGGATAATGATGATGATGATGATGATACTGTGAAGGTAAAAACAGGATAATGATAATGATGATGATGATAATAATAATAATAATAATAATACAATTAAAAAAAAAACAATCCAAAACCAAACAAAACCCCCTTAATCTCCAGTCACAAAGGATTGCGGCCTATTAGAGGCTTATGAGGCAAAAAAATATCCCAAATATCTTTATATCCCTGTTACAGACCCTCAAATGTGTACAAAGAGCAGTTGTATGATATGCTTTTAAGCACAACCCATCCACAGGAACATGAACATGAGGCAGTTTAGTAAATGAAAGTGCAAAGCAGATGAACACTTACACAAAAGCCTTCATGATGGATCTCTAAGTAAGAAAGGAAGTGTGGACCTTTTTGCTCCAGGTTGCTTGCAACATGCAGCTAAATCTCTTTTGTCCCAATCCAGGCTTTCCAACAGGATAAAACACAAATCCTTTCTTAATTCTTCTGATATACCTATTTTTCCCCAGCCTATGAAAATAGGGTAGTGACACTACTGATACATGCACTTTGCAAGAACCTTTTTCATCTCTGCTGCAGTGGGTAAATGAGCATCCGCTTTTAGTGGTCAGTCACTGCAATGTATATTCAATAAAAGCTACCAACCTACTCATTTAACTTGAATCGTAAGATTCCTGCGTGCTGTGGAAGATAAGTATGCTTGTAAATATATTTCTATTTATAACCTGTATACAAAAAAAAAAAAAATCTGTAGAAGAAAAAAAAAACAGCAATAATATCTTCAAATACTACGGACTTGCTTAATATTACTTGTGGCTAGCAAAATCGCACTAACAGATGAAATTATTCAATGTACATTAAGTCCTATAGATAGTCAGAAGATCCATTTAGGGGACAGTTTTATTTAGATCATTCCAGTTTCAAGACAGAACATTACTGTTTCTATGATGTTTTCACCCTGGATTTCATGGATCTTTAGAAACTCTTGCTAGCTGTTGCAAAGTGACATCTTCTATTAACACTGTTACTGGAATTCTGGATATTATTGGAATATCTGGAACTAATATGGCTTCTGCTTTTTAAGGTGATAGGATGAGACACAGCTTTTCAAGAACTTCAGCCTGATAAGAATTGATATAATTGAAAGCAACTGTATGAATAGATGTATGGATTCAGCAGTTACTTTCCAACTGAAGGGTCCAACCATCTCCAACTAAAAAAGATGATCAGTCTTTGAGATTAAATAGGACTGAAACAAGAAATTACTGGTTCTTTGCTATATTTAAATTCACTTTGAAGCTACTTCAGAAGAATAAATGAACTCACTCTACAGATTCAGCTATTTGCCTTACTTTGTTCTTCTAGCTATCCTCTAATCTCTTTGCTGATTGCAAAATCAGTTGTCCCGGGTCCCCCAAGATCTTACCTTCAACACATTATACTGATGAAGAAATCTAAGGACAAGAATGAAAGAGGACAAATTGTCATCTACCTCCCAGCTTGGAGAAGCTCAGTAACTCCTCCAAATTGCTTATTTTGGGCTTCTTCACCACAGCAGACAGATGGGTGTAGATATGTAATTTGATTTTCTGTTCAACTTCCTTTCATGGCAGATTTGGTTACCAAGAAACTCTTTAACAAACAGACTTAAGTGCACTGAGGTGATCTTACCCAGGCATAAGCTTGAAAACAAGTATACAGAAAACAGCTATAGAACTTGACTACAAAATAACTTGCTCACTTAAGATGCGATCACTGAAATCAAGGGTACTCTTTCCACGGACTTCAGTGATCATTATAGCCTCAACATGCTGCATTCTGAGCCTTTCTTGTGATAATAGCCTGTGCCTTCCTACATGGCTCAGATTTTCTTAAAGCACAAGGACTTAAAGCTCCTCAAGAATGATAATCAATGGTCCTCTATTATGTTTATAGCTCTAGGTCTTTTCCTGCTAATGGATGACGTATATTTATGCAGCTGGAGGAAACCTGGATTCAATAACTGCTCCACCACAGACTCACTGTGTGGTATAGGGTAAGTCACTTAAATCTCTCTGTGCCTTCATTTTTCAACTGTAAAACGGAATTCTTGATGCCTACCTTTGCAAAGAGCTCTGAATCCTCAGGATGAAAACATACCCTGATAAATAATATTACCTTGTTAGGAAGCACAGGTGTGTGACCCTGGACACATATGCTAATGTTGATCCATAAATCTGTCAACAGGAGGTGCTGGCAAAACAGATGGTTCACATTCCTTTTTAAACCACCTCTTTGTCCCCAAAGTCCAGGTATGTCAACTAATGATTTTATAACTGGTCAGGGTTTTAATGGACCAGGAAGTCACAGTGAAGCACAATGCCACCAGCATTATGGCTAAAAATGGAGCCAACAAGAGGAAAAGACAGACATAGAGGCTTCTTTTACCCTTCTCCGCTGCTCCCTGGCATGTAGGACAAACACAGTGAGGCTCTGCAGAAAAAGATAAAAGAAAAAGTAGAATCCATCCCCACATGTCCCTGTTAGTAGTACAGCATCAGTGATCATGCCTGAATGCTGATGGTACATAGAAACAGACATATGTTTTTTTAATGACAGACAATATAAAACTACAGACACACACCATTTAAAAACCTGATTTAGATGAACAGTTGCATGTCGATCCACAGGGTCAGGAGGATTACAAGGAAATAAGAAGTTCACTCCTAAACAGTTATTTTTTACTTAAGAGTTACCTCTATTATTAGGAATTTCGATTCCCTATCTCAATAGCTGAAAACAGCACTCGGCATTTTCCTTGAAAATGTTACTGTGGCAACAAGGGCTGTGGCAGGATTTATGCTGTAGGCTGGGCAGGCTGCTGGGAGGGAGCACTTGGGCGGTCAGGGGAAGGGAGGGGAAGGGGAGCAAGGCAGAGGAGGGGAGGGCAGGGGAGGGAGGGGAAGGGAGGACAGGACAGGGCAGGGGAGGGCAGCGGGCACGCAGCTGTGCGGGACCGTCTGCCACGCACATTCCCATAAATGGAATCCCAGGGCCAGAGGACCACATCAAAGCCGCGGAGTTTAGCAGATTTCCCCTTCCCCTCCCCCTGAGTCTTTGAGACGGAGACTTCATACTCCAGAATTTAATATCTTTTTCCTCCCTCCCCCCATCAGCCCCTTTGTCTGCGTCTCTGTTCTCTAAGAGCTAACAGATGTTGATGCCATATAGTTTCAAAGAAAACTTTTGATGCCCACATAACTCATTACAACTAATATATTCCAAGAACGCTTGTAGCTCGGGAAACACTGGGGTGAAAAAACAGAGGAGAGGGGGCAAATGGCTACACTGAATAAGCCTTGAGAGAAAATAAATAGTTCACTTCAAAGTCATCAGGGAATTCTTTAACAAGCTCCTTCTTCCGCAAAACACAGAACAAATTCAGCTGAGCCTAGAATTCCCTAAGGAAAAAAAAAATAAAAGTCAAACCCCACATAAATGGCAAAGCAGAGGGAAGCATCAGAGGTCGCCCGGCTCATCCAGCAACAAAGTGCAGCATTCTCGAGGTTCGATATTCCCAAGCAACCTGCACTGTGCCAGGGCACAAAAGCACCGCTGAAAAGCGAAGACGATCAACAATGACAATACAGAGAGCCCTAAAAAAACCCTAACCCTGTCCCTCTGCACGGAATGAATGCAGGCAGCGATGAGATTGCTCAATTCACAGAGCGCTTCAATTCAGTCGCACAACATATGCAGGAGGACATGTCACGAATGTCAGAATTATAGAGAAGAAACATTTTGCTCCTTTAGCAAAAGCAGGTGACTACATTTTTCAGGGCAGGCAGGTCCACGTTCTTAGCCATTTTCTAGGGTTACATCTAGGATGCAACCCTTCATAAATTTTTCTAGCAGGTCTCCTCCCCTCCCCTGCTGCTTCAGCACACAGCTGCATCCTCCTTTCCGTTTGGTGAGAAGCCCCCCAGGAGTCACCAGGGGTTGGTAGGGAGAAGGGCTGAGAAAAGGGGGGAGGGCAGAATGTGATTACATCAATTTCCACAGCAGGGGGATCAGATTGCATCATTGTACACAACTTGGGGCCCGCTCTTTTATCCCTGATGCAGGCAAATTTCCTATTGAAATCAGTGGGAGACTTGTCTGTGCAAGGACTGCAGAACCGGGTATTCTGTGATCACAGAATTAGAAAGCAGTAGGAAGCCACACCTGGCAGCACCTCTCAGTGATGCTCTGCCCTCCGTCGGGATGGATATCAAATCAAAACAAATGACAATATAACAACGTTAAACTCCTTCTCCCGCTCATACATAAACTCCTAAAAATCCACCACTGCCGTTACTGTATAAAAGTCTGTATAAAGTTCCTACCAGTGAACTGCAGATTTCACACAGAACAAGTAACAGTAAGAAAATACTGGGGAGGTGGGGGGGGCGACTGGGACACACGGACAGACATGGAACAGGACAGGACATGACATGATGACATGACATACATGATACGGATAGGGGGACAGTGGGAATCTATCCCACCACACAATCGTAGGCATCTCTCATCTAACGATTAAAATGTAGAGATTTTTAAGGATTTCAGACAAACAGGTGTGTTCTCCTGCTTGTTTTCTTTTTTTCAGGATTTAGATGGAAGAAGCAAAACCAAGTCAGCCCTACTTCTGCAACAGCAACAACGCATGGTCTCTTTTTCTGAAGAGTTTAAATAGTACCATAGCACAATATGAGGAAATTACTAGTTTTTCACTGCTGCTCATTTCCAAGCATCACAGTTTGCATCCACTCTCATCTGCACAAAAATTTTCCTTGTAGTAGCTCAGTAATTTCCCCACTTCAGCTGCTGCTACTCTCATATACACCTTCCTTGCAGACCAATTATCCCCCAAACACATTGGTAAACAGCTCAGGAAAAACAGAACCAAAATCTATCAGATTTGTTCAAGAAAAAACGTGTTTCCTTGTAAAATGATTCCTTATTATCTCTCCTGCCTCACTGTTTGGGGATGGATCATTTCCTCTAGGGAACAACAAGGAAGGCGTCCTCAAGCCTTGTGGCTTTGTAAGTAAAATACTGTATTACTGAGGTCATCCACCACATTTCAGGGTGTCAGAAACTTCAGCAGGAGAGCAAACAGAAGAGCTGTTCAGGTATTTAAAATCTAGTCTGTGGACCTGGAGATTTCCATAATGGCAGAGCGGGGCCAAGATGGAAAACATCACGAGACAACAGGGGACAACAAGGAAGCAGGAAACATTATTGAGCCCACAGCGCTAAATGAATGAACTCAAGATTTAAAATGATAAATTCAAAATTAAAATGATAAATTCAAAAGCTTACTAGACTCTCCAAATAGCACACCTGTAAGATCTGCGTTCCAAATTTCCTCACAACACCCCAATGCATCTGGACCAAGAGGGGCATTAGGGATGCAGAAAAGCTGTGAAGCCCGACCAGTAGAACCACTTGTGCCGCGTCTGTGGTGGCCGCGCTGCAGCAGCGCTCCCGTCTCCGTCAAACAGCAGGTTCTGAGCGGCCGGCACGCAGCACTCGGGCCAGGAACTGCTTTCTGAGTACACTGCATTTTGCCCATGTTTTTTTACAACTGTCAAATAGAGTATTGCAGTGCAGGCTAACTATGTGCTCTTTCTGTCTCACATATATCAGACAGAGAGAGGAAAAAAACCAAACAAACTACACAAATCCCAAAATACTTGATATAAAATAAATGCGATGGCTTGGTTTTAGTTTCAGCTGAGCCCTACTGTGACTTTTGTGACAACAAGATAATTTGTCCTTTAGGATGAAAAAATAGCAAATGAGTTAGAAGAAAAAAAAAAAAAAGGGGGGGGGGGGAGGGGGAAAAAAAACAAAACCAAAAAACAACAAACAAAAACAAACACCACAACAGAAACTTTGTAACTGTTACTCAAAGTGGCTATTGGCAACAAGAGCTGGAGTTTCCCCAGCATAAAATGAAGCAGCAGCACAATGACTAAGGCTTTACATTAAAAAATAACAGGACTACAATCTGAGGTTCCTCATAAAGCTGGTAATGCTTTGCCTGAATAAAGACTTACACAGCAATCCTGCTACAGATAGGAGGGAAAACAACCACCAAACTCCTTCAGTCTGACATGATGGAGCAGATCCCCATTTTGATGCAGCTCTGACATTCTAGACATGTAAAACTCTGAACATTGGGCCATTGGTATGGTTTTGTCTCCTGAACTGGGCAGAATGATGCCCAGAGACATCTAAAGACCTTGGAAGGGCTTTTATGGATGGTTTCCACCACTTCAGGGAAAATGTTCGGTTTTCTGATTGTGTGTGTGTGTGTGTGTGTGTGTCAGTGTGTATGTTTGTTACATTGTAAGGAGAACAGAAACTTTAAGGAAGTAAAAAGTAATTTTGCCAAACATTACTTTTCCTCTCAAGAAACACTGATAGAAAAACATAATCCAGTGTCACAGAACATATATGCAGTCCCTCAGCCTGAAACAAAGGAATTTATCTTGCAGTGACAGTGCCATGCCTGAGTTTCTGAAGCACTATGGAAGCTAGTATTTGTAGGACCTCTTTCAATGCCTTTTTTCCCTTGTTCTTCTATCTCCATTAACAAGTATTACTGTTATTTATTACTATTCTGCAGTATGCTCTAGCAGAGGCCACTGTCTGTGCCTCCCAGTGCTATGAAGACACACAAATCCTTCCATGGCCCAGGAGGATGTACTTCAAAACATATGTGGGGATTTATTTCTTGCCAGCTGCAGGTGCTTGCAGTAGAGAAGATCCCACCAAGCACTGCTCTCTGGAGCACATCTCTTGTTCACTTCTTGTGGTGACCAAGCCCAGAGAAAGATGAGTGCACAGGTCTTGGGCAGCCAAACTGGATCTTTCAGTCGAGGTTTCACAAATGCACAGGTACTCCAAGATCAACCCCAAATGCCAGGGATCCATCTCCAGGCACAAAGCTATGTATGATTTCAGATACAGTGCATGTGTCTGACAAAATCTGGCCCTGGCACCAGAATTCACATAAAATGAGAGTGGCCAAAACCAGCACTGTGATAAGTCAACCAAACCAAGGATACCAGATGTTGTTGAAAGCTGTAAGAGCACCACTTCCATGTTCTGAGCACATCACTAGGGCTAGCAAGTCCTCAGTGTGCTCCCCTTGGAAGGGCACAGCTCCCTTTTAAACATGACTCCATGACTAGCACAAAACACTTTGACAAAACTGGCATCACTTGGGATCAACAGCCACTCTCTCTTCCCACCGAGGGTGGGAGAAAGCTGGAAGAGAAACTTAGGGTATTTCAGTTTCATCACAGGTCCACAAAGTCTTCCTCATGTGGTTGTGACTAGCAAATGACATAAACTGGAGTTTTAAGAGTCTTATCAGTTTACGATCCTACTTTACTTTCCTTTTTAAACCAACTTAACTCCATCTTTGTGGCAAGGTTTTT